ATTAGGTGCCTCGGCTTATATTCGGGTCGGCCTATACTCGAGTATATACGGTAAATATATATTTCAACCAACATTCTCATTTAGAATACTGTAACATACTCTACAGGGGGATGTCCTTGAAAAGCATTCAAAAGCTTCAGCTAGTACAGAAGATAGCTGCATGGTTTGTAAATGGCGCTGGCTTTTAAGCACACATCGCTCTATGGGCTGCAATGTGTTTCTGGGTGCCATTCAAGGTGCTGATAGTCATCTTTAAAGTCCCTCATGGCATAGGACTGAGTTGAGGTTGTTTCTACCCATCTAATCCCATCTTGCAGGATGGGCATGCTTGGCCAAGGAATGCTGGCTGGCGGTGATAAGGAGACATGCCCTCTAGAATATTCTTCCTTCTGGAGATTAGGAGGCCTTGAAATTTTTGGCCTTTCGCAAAACCTCGCAGACCTGGCTTATGTACCTCGGTTTCCAGGTGAGTAAAGAGTTTCATTTGCTGGTTATGTTGACATTGATGGATTATAATATTTGTTGGTTGGTAAAGGTATTTAATTTCTTGTTTCTATTCTGCTTAACAGTTTTTTATGATTGTTCGCCACCCGCTCGTTGGTTTGAGATGAGTGGTTATATACAAATATAATGGATATATAACTATTCAGGTTTGCTAGTCTTTGTGCTAGTCTACATTCTCAGTAGGTTTGTGTGTGTATATTTCTATTATTGTTTAGCCTAAATGAGTTTGCATGAATACCTTTTTCAAATTTAGACGTTAACATCGAGATTACAAGGAATGAATGTTAAGCATGTATTAGAGAATCATGGTAGAATTCTTTTATTTTAGATCAGGGCTGTCAAACGCCCGGCCTGCGCATCACGCACTGTCCACGCCCACGCCCGGTTTAGCGAAGGGAAAAAAAGTCCTGATACGTCATGTGACACTGCCCATAACAACATGAGTTTGACACCCCTGCTTTAGATAGCTAAAAATAATCTGCAATTAACAACTTGGTAAAATCTGGAAGAATTCAACATAGTAGGACATACCATCAGATGTGTCTGTCTGTGGAGTGTTTCCCTCAGATAAATTAAAAGTTCCATTGTCAGTCCAAGATATCTCCGAGATATCAGTGTCCGATACAGACAGCTCCTTGGCTGCAGTGGCTGAGCTAACCTGTAAATTGGAAAAACCAAACTATCAAATATACCGTAGACTAAATGTTGCTTCAGTACGCATCACTTTCAACACCATAAGCATGATCCTGTCATTACCGTGTTTCCCCGAAAATACGACCTGTCCCGAAACTAACGCCTTACCACATTTTTCGCGTGGGCAAAAATATAAGCCCACCCCCGAAAATAACCCCCCTGGACAACCCCTCGCCTCCAACCAGGCAGAGCACCGCTCACCGACCTAGCGGTATCCTGAAGGTGCCAAGCCGTGGGAGCCGGGAGGGAGGGAAGGCGCGCACGTTGTTTGACGCCTTCAGGATACTGCTAGGTTGGGGAGTGGCGTTCTTCCTGACCAGAGGGGGGAGTTGCCGGGTGGCTGCTCCCTTGCGAGCGGACTCCCGAAGAGCTGGGTACAGCCTCAGGGGCGAAGCAGCTATGAGGTAACCATGCTCATGAGCAGCTGCCTGGCAAATCCCCTCTCCAGCTGGGCAGAGCACCATTCACTGACCTAGGGGGTATCACTAAGGCTCCAAGTCACATGGCACTCTGCCCGCCCCCCAGCTCCCACGGCTTGGCACATTTGGGTCTCTATGGTGGGCTGGCTGCTGGAAGACTCTCTGTCCAGAAGACTCTCTGTCCGGAAGACTCTCTGTCTGGCAGACGGCCCACCATAGAGAGCACTCCTAGAGCGGCTGATGCTGGAAGACTTGGCCCCGAGTTTTGGAGTTTGGAAGTTATGCTCAGAGTGGAGGCGGGCAGCGGCGGCGCCCTGGGAGAGCTGCGCAAGGGCTTGGTGAGGCTGGAGGCAGAACAGGCGCTCGCGCAACTGCCCTCTCCAGCCAGCCAGAGCTCCATGCACTGACCTAGGGGGTATCCTGAATGTGCCAAGCCGCGGGAGCTGGGGGGCGGGCAGAGCGCCATGTGGCTTGGCGCCTTAGTGATACCCCCTAGATCAGTGAATGGCGCTCTGCCTGGCTGGAGAGGTGATTTGCCGGGTGGCTGCTCGTGAGCATGGTTACTTCATGGCTGCTTTGCCCCTGAGGCTGTGCCCGGCTCTTCGAGAGTCCGCTCGCAAGGGAGCAGCCGCCCAGCAACCCCCCAAAATAAGCCCTCCCTGATAATAAGCCCAAGGCCATATTTCGTGGGGCAAAAGAAAATAAGACCCTGTCGTATTTTCAGGGAAACACGGTATAAAGTGAGAACAGTTGCTTTCTTTATTTAGGTGATGGAGATATACCAACAAATATATAAATGCTGATATGTTTAAGTCTACTTTTTTAAAAAAATGACAAGCTTCTTGGATCAAGATATTTAGACAAAAATGTAAGTTTTATTTTGCAATGCTGTGTATATTTGCGTAGAAAGAAATCACATTGAGTGCACCGTTCAGTAGGCAAAGGTGAGCTTATTCCACCTCGTTTTTATAAAGGGAGGGAGCAGAAATACGCTCTGTGAAAGCAAATAAAAGTTCATGTGCTTCACTGTCATAAAAAAAACTTAAAAAAAAAACATGATATAAGAACCAACCAACCTTTGGACATAAAGCTGATAAATCCAGTTCACTGTCATCCTCACTTGGTTTCGTTTTGATCATTTCTGGAAAAGAAGAGTCTATCAGTTTAGGATTTCTGCTTATTATGCTAGTCAAGTATTTCTATTTTCATTTATTTGCAATACTGATAAAAAGGCGTGCATTACAACTCAGTGGTGCCCTTTAGGCACAATCTGCATTTAAAACCAGCTGATTAGGTACATACATCGGTCTACTTATTTATATAGCATTTTACCTTACTCAGGATATAGTCATTTAAAAGACATACATGGAAAGATCATTAATTGCTACAAGCAATAAAATATAATTAGGTTTTGAAGCTTATAGCAACAGCAATAGCAGTTATATACCGCTTCATAGGGCTTTCAGCCCTCTCTAAACGGTTTACAGAGTCAGCATATTGCCCCCAACAACAATCCGGGTCCTCATTTCACCCACCTCGGAAGGATGGAAGGCTGAGTCAACCTCTAATCTGTTTCCCTGACATAAACAAAGAGGAGAAAGGTGTACAAGGAATACATAACT